CCCCAAGGGGCTTCTAATTGCCTTTCATCCACTGTCAAGGTCGCCTCCTGATTTTTTTTATGCCATCCAAACAGGCTATTTATAGACTCGCAGAATACAGGCCTCAGAGGCCTTAAAGGTCGTGGAGCCTAAGCTTTCCCCATTTGTGATGACATCTGGGACAGCCTTACAACACAAAGCCTGCCCTTTATTTGCACACCTCCAGGGATGGGACGTCTGCTACCTTACCAGGCAGTTCTTTTTGTGTGTAGGCACTGCTGATGGTAAGATCACAATCTGACTGACATGCTGAGCCAAACTCCATCTGCCTGTGGCTCCTCTCATCAGCCCTACTTCTGCCTTCTGAGCTCTCTCAGAAGTCCTCGAGTGAGATGGGAACTAGCACAGACTCTAGAGCAAATAGCCTGTGTTCAAATCCTGGTTCTGTACCTGACAAGTTCTGTTATTTGGGGGAAATTTCTTAATACCTCTATTCTTCAAGTTCCTCGCCTGTAGGATGAAAAGTACGATAATGGTACATATTCCATAGGTTTGTAGTGAGGAGAAAGCGAGTTAGCGCAATTCAGGTGCTTATGACATTGCCTGGCACACAATCACTAAATAATAAATATTTGAAGAATAAGAGACCGGAGTATTAGTCCCAACCCTGTCCCCACAGCCTCTTCCCCCACCTGGGAGGTGATTGAGGCCTTCTAATCTCAGAGTCCCTAGAGAAAGGGAGGGCCCGAGAATGAAGCAAGTTAAAAGCTTCCTGAAATGTATGCATATTTTCTTTTTTACTCTTTAATGGAAAAATAATGGTTTTTGTCCAAGATTAACACTCTAGGAAGACTGGACATGATTATCTAATAGAATACTGTATCCTCTCACATACACTGACACATCAGCGTGTATCTCAGGGGTTTGGATGCTAGTTTGAGAGTGTGGGCCTAGGGGATCCTCCGAAGTTCTTTCAGCCCCAGGTCAAGGTCAAGCCTTGGCTCTGTCATTAAGTGGAGGGAGCACAGTCCATTTATACATGGGCTCTGTTTACTCACCTCTGAGACGGAGGTACCAGTTCCTGCCTGCCTTGCCTGGGATGTAGGGAGGTGGAGAGAGGCATTTTGCATCGGTGCGCTCTGTACTCTGGACTAAGCAACATAAAACGTCAGCTTTACAGAAACAGCCCTGGCAGCCCCTCCACTCAGGAGAGACCTGTGCTTTCTGAGAGTACCTCATCTTTAGTTCTAGAAGAGCTCTCCCAGCAAGTGACCTCAAGGAGAGGCCAGGCTTCCTGGTAATCAGGGTGGGTGGGGGACCTGCCAGTTCCTTCTTGGGGCCTCAGAAAGTCTCTACCATGTGCCAGGCCAAGTCGGCCAGAGTGCAGGGCCGTACTGAGTCCTCTGAGGACAGGCCTGAGCTCTTCCCAGCACTTTCAGGAGCCATGCCAGATGGGCTGGTGGAATTTCACCAATGTCCCTCTGTCTGCCCTAGTCAGCGTTCCCAGGCCCATCTGATCCCAGACAAGCTCTGAAGTCAGAGTAATGTGGGAGGAGTCCTCCATCGAGGTCTCAACTGTGGTTCCATGCTTGTCCCTTTGGATGTAGGCTGATGTATCTTCTCAACTCCCCTGTGCACTGAACCTATTCCCGCTTCCTTCATTCAATTCAGTTCCTTTACCTTGGGTACTATGTGCTATCCAAGCGTTCACAGTCTGGGGTAGCACCATCCAAAAGAACATTTGTGATGATGGAAATGTTCTGTATCTGCACTGACTGACGTGGGAGCCAGGAGACACTGAGCACTTGAGATGTGGCGAGTGTGACTGAGGAACTGAATTTTAAACTTTATTTAACTTTAATTATTTAAAGTTAAAACAGTCCAATTTTGAAAAATGGCCAGAAGATCTGAATAAACATTTTTCTAAAGAAGACATACAGATGGCCAACAGGTATATGAAAAGATGCTCAACATCACTGATCATCAGGGAGATGCACATCAAAACCACAGTGAGATATCACCTTATACTGTCATCAAAAAGACAGGAAATAACAAGTGTTGGCAAAGATGTGAAGAAAAGAGAACACTTGTGCACCGTTGGTGGAACTGTAAATTGGTGCAGCCACTATGGGAAACAGTATGGAGGTACCTCAGAAAGTTAAATATAAAACTACCATATGACCCAGCAATCTCACTTCTAGGTATCTATCTGAAGAAAATGAAAACATTAATTTGCAAAGTTATGTGCACCCCCATGTTCATTGCAGCATTATTTACAATAGCCAAGACATGAAAGTGACCTAAGTATCCATTGATGGATGAATGGATAAAAAAGATGTGATATATACAATGGAATATTATTCAGCTATAAAAACGAATGAAATCTTACCATTTGCAACAACATAGATTGCCCTCAAGGGCATTATGCTAAGCGAAATAAGTCAGACAGAGACAAATACCATGTGATCTCATTTGTATGTGGAATCTGAAAACAAATCAATAACAACAACAACAAAAAAACCAAGCTCATAGATAACAGAACAGATTGGTAGTTGCCAGAGGCGGCAGGGGGCGGGGGGTAGGGGGAGTGGAAGAAATGGGTGAAGAAGATCAAAAAGTATATACTTCTGGTTATAAAATAAGTGTCATGGAGATAGAATGTACAGCATGGCAACTATAATTAATAATACTATATAGCATATTTGAAAGCTGCTGAGTAAATCTTAAAAGTCCTAATCACAAGAAAAAAAAATTTGCAATTAAGTATGGTGATGGATGTTAACTAGATTTATTGTGATCATTTTACGATGTATACAAATATTAAATCATTGTGTGGTACACTTGAAACTATGTCATGTTATGTCAATTATATCTCAATTAAAAAAATTTTAAAGGCCACATGTGGCTAGTGGCCACTGTACTGAACAACACAGGTCTAGTTGGAGAGACAGATATGGAGGCAGGTGACTCAAATAAGGCAGATGGACCGGGCTGGGGAGAAAGGGACATACAATGTGCCATTTGAGTGTGGAGTGGAGGAAGAATGTTTCCAGGGATAAGGATCAGGAAAGGCCTTATTGGGAAAGGGGCATTTGTGATGGGTATTTAAGCACTAGAGAGACATCAGCCGGTGGGTATAGGAGGGTAAGGGCATTCCATTGCAGAGGCAGCGGGGCACCTGAGCTTTCAGAAGTAGACCTCTGCAGGCACCAGGTACCATGTACCTGATCTCCTGGGGTAAACAAGCTGGGTAAGGACTGGGAGGAAGGAAGGCAAGGACTAAACTGTGTGGGTCTTCGTGTGCCAGGCTGAGGAGGAGATGGGGCTTATCCTGTTGCGCTGTTGAGGGAGTGAACTGAGATGCTACGAGTTGGGTACAAGGCATTGGGAACATAGTGTGTTTTCAATAAATGGCAGCAGCTATCAGCAGTGGGGAGCCACTGGAGGGAGTCGTGTGTTTCTGTTTGCTGCTGCTTTAGATCAATTTGGGAATATTGACATCTTAGCAATATTAAGACTTCTGATCCATGAGTATGGAATTTTTACGTTTAAGTCTTCTTTAATGTATTATGCTGTTTGTAGTTTTCAGTGTGCTAGCCTTTACTTCTTTTATTAAATTTATTCCTAATTATTTTTAGGTTATGGCAAATAGGATTGTTTTCTTAATTTTTGAATTGTTTACCAGTGTACAGAAATACTTCAACTTTTGTATATTGATCTTATATCCTGCAATCTTACTGAACTTGTTTATTAGCTTTAATAGTTTTGTATGAATTCCTTAGGATTTTCTATTTACAATATCGTGTCACCTGCAAATACAAATAGTTTTGCTTCTGCCTTTCCAATATGAATGCCTTTTACTGCTTTTTTTTTTGCTTAATTGTCCTGGCTAGGACAATGTTGGTGAGAGTGGACATCCTTGTCTTGTTCCTACTCTGAGGGGGGAAGTCTTAAACCATCAAGTAAAACATTACTTTCTATGTTTTTTCAAACCTCTTTAAGATTATGTTTATTCTTTATTATCTTATTATACATGGTAACAGAAACTCGAACAATACGGTAAGATATGAAGAAGAAAACAAAACTCCCTAAATCCCACCGCCACCAATAAACTTCCAGGCCTATCAGTGCACATTTATGTGTATGAAAAATATCGGGAACTTTACATACATATGACCTGTTCTGTAACTCGGCTTTTTTTCTCTACTCAGTAGTGTTTCGTGGCCATCTTTCCAGGCCTATGACCAAAGATTTGTGTCATCATTTTACAGCTGCCCATGTTCTGTTATCAAGCCCAAGTGCCGTTTATTTGAGCAGCTCCCTATTGATGAATGTTTAAGTCGATTCCCGTTTTTCCCCACCGTTAGAAAAAAGACTGGTAAACATCCTCATCACATCCTTCCCCACACTGTGCATTGCCAGGTTTTCCTTTTTTCTTTAATCTGTCAGATGACCGCTATGGATTTGGGGGTAGGGAAATAACAGGCTTAGGAAGCTATCGCTGACATTCCCAACTTCCTCTGTGACCATGGGCAAATCCTTTTCCCTCTCTAGGCCTCAGTTCCTTCATTTGCAAATTGAAGATTGGTCTGAATGACTGATTAGCAAACCTGGCTGCATATTGGAATCACCTGGGAAGTTTTAGCAACCACAGACACCTGAGCCTCACTCCGAGAGATTTTGATTTAATTAGTGTGGGGAATAGCCTGGGCAGCGGGATTTTTAAATCTCCTTGGGAATAGATGATTCGAAGATTCTGCCTGCTCAAATATTCTAGGAAGGCTTCTGTGGGCCAGTGGACAGATCTGTTCTTGCTGTCCAGTGGCCTGGGGTTTGAATCCTAGCTCATTACCTCCTGGCTGCATAACCTTTCACTTTCTCTAAACTTCCATTTCCAGATCTTAGAGGCGGGGTTAAAATCCCCACCCACCATTCAGGGTTTCTTCCAGGTAGAAAAGGTTTAGATTCTATGGAAATAGGATGAGTGGTGACAGTTTTTTTTTTTTTTTACTTGACCAAAGAGCCAGCCCCTGGGCAACAAAGTGGAAATGGAGATCGTGAGCATGTTGGAAAAAAACACAACGCTTCTGAAGTTCGGCTACCACTTTACCCAGCAGGGGCCTCGGCTACGGGCGTCCAATGCCATGATGAGTAACAACGACCTTGGTGAGTGAAAATATGCTCCCTACCCACATGCTTGTCATCTTTCCACCTGTCCTGGGGGATATGGCAGGGAATTCCACTGATACCTTCTCCAGGGAGTCCTCTTGGCGAGTGTGACTCCCGACTTTCATATTGGTCACATTTGTTTGCTGTTGGTGCCTTGGCTCCCCGCTAAGCTGTTAGCACCCTGTCTTTGGGCGCCAAGGCTGGGCCCTCTCCTCTCCCCTCCCCATAGCAAACCTTAGCTCAGCTCAGCGCTAGGCTCAGAAGGCACCCTCTGTGCGTTAGCTGAGTGAAACGAGGGAGGGCACAAGGCTCACCATTAGTCTCTTTTGAACGCCCTTCTCTGAACTCAGAGTCCTGTCCTGGTCACAGTCTGGCTCTGGCCTCAGATCCCAAAGGCCCCAACCAGCACTACCACCCAAAACCCAAGCCTAGGAGACTTCTCACTGTTTTTAAGGTAAAAGTTGAAAATGTCGACTTCATAGTAAACATTAATTTAATCTCAGTTAAAGACAGTTTGTTTTTTCTAAAAAGAAAGTGAAAGAAAATGTCACAATCTTATGTGCATACGCCAAATACATATTTAAGTCAGTTGAATGAAAAGTGAGATCAATCATCAACTTTCTTCCAGATGCCAATTGTCCTCAAGCTCTAGGGGTAGTTATTTATTATGTTTGTTCCTGGCTGCTAAAATAACTTGATATAAAGTCCAAAAAGGAGTGTGTCTGATAAGGCTACAGGAAAATAAGAAAAAAAAAAAATACAAAACAAGAAAAGGATTGTAGGTCTAATATGTTAACATAATCGATAATTATATTTAGCCATGAGTTTCCCAGGGTAAGGCAGGAGAAAGACAAACCAAGTTAGATTGTTCTTATTACAGAAGAGGAGGAGGCATAATGAGTTTAGAAAGAAAAGAAAGCAAGCTAGCTACTTTCTGGGACTGAATTATGAAATAACTGTGTTTCAAAAGGACAATGTCTTCAGTGAGTTTTTCATCAAATTCAAACCTGCTCTACACGTGGCTTTTTGTTGTTGTTTGTTTGTTTCTAACACTCAGTAAAATACAAAGAGCCTAATACTAAAGCACATGTCAAACTTAAGTCACTTCCCAATGATGAATCTGAAGCTGGGCTGATGCGTGGAAGGCCTGGAAGAATGGAGATGAGTGTGTAGATGTGTATGCACAAAGCAGCTACTCACGGAACCTCTGCGTCGGTAACCACAGAGCCACACACACACACTTTAGATTGGGTTAGTCAATTCAAACATAAGTCACAGTCCTATAGGGCACAGCTTCCTGCTCTTCAGGATATCACAGCCCAAAAGCTATTCATTCATTACCCACTCCAGATGTCATTTTTTTCTAGAGCTGCAGGTCTAGAAAAGTTCATAAAACAAACAAACAAATGCACCCCGTGTCTTGGTTTATCTGAAGTACCCTTATTTGAAATAAAATAAGGACAAACACAAATAGCTAAGAATCATAATTATTATGTAACAGAAATGATAGCTACCCCGAATTGCTAAGGCCGTCGATCTAAACTCTGTCAGCCCAGCTATGGTCTGGCTTCAGAACAAGCATGTAAAAGCCTTGAGTTCTATTCTGATATGCAATTGGCTCACATTTTTTTTTTTCTCTCCCAGCTTAAATTAAGCTTCCTATGTGCCCCTTGATGCCTATCTTGGGGCTAATCCAGCTTTAGTCTTCCAGTGGCAAAATGGTCTGGGGGTCTTTTTTCTGAGGACAAAAGGTTCCAGATGACCAGCGATCAGGGCTGCTGTAGGGGAGTCACCAAAATCAGCTGGGGGTTGAATGAAATGGCCCTCGAGGACTCCCCGTCCTGACAGTCTGTGATTCCAAAATCCAGGCCCAACTTCAATCACCAGGGACTTCCTGAGGTTATGGCAGGACCGGGACCCGAGAGTGCCAGAGCTGGAAGTGACTCAGGCCTGTCCTTCCAGCTCCCTTATAAAGTGAAGCCTGGGAGAGACCGCCCTGCCAGGCAGCGACTCACTCAAGTCACTCCAGTTGTTGGTTACAGCAAGCCCTTTCGGGGCACCTTTTGTGTTCCCAGGATTGTGATTGTGACACAAAGGGGAGCAGAAAGGCTAGTTCCCTGAAACAAGAAACTTTACACCTTTTAGAGGAGAAAAGACTCAAAGATGTGCCTAAAAATTCAAGAATGCCTAAAAGCTATATCCAAACAAAATGGGGACAGGATTTGTGAAGACAGAGGCTGGTTAGGCAAAGCATCCTGGTTGGGGTGGGCCTTTAGCCAGCCTCGAAAGGAAGAGACAGGTTGTGGAGAGGGTCAGGAGGCATTCTCAGTGGAAGTATAAGCACAGGCAAAGGCAAGGCGATAAGACCCTGTATGCAGGACAGGAGAGATAGAAAGATCTAGAAGGACTGAGGAGCTATTATGGGGAGTTAGACCCAGAACGAAGGCCTATAATGCCAAGCTGAAAAGTTTGGTGATGAAAGCAGGTGAGAAGTGGGACCATGACAGTTTCCTGGACAGGCGTGACAGGTGATAAAAGTGTGCCTCTGGGTTACCCCAGGAAACTGTGCAGCTGTTCCCTTGGGGTTTCGCCCATAAGGAATTATGGGAGAATCATTTCAGTGATTACACGTAACATTCAGAGTCCTCGTTGATGATGTAGGATTTCTAGCTTTAAAAGCAAATTCTTACCCATCTGCTAATTTTTGTAAAAGACACGCATCTGATTCTGGTACTGCATCACCTTCCTCCTGCAAAAGAGAAATCTTTTCTTTCCAACACAGTATATTCATCCCACTCTTGCTGCTCCGAAGAAACAGACAGGCTGAATGTTTTGTTTTGTTTTGTTTTGTTTTGGTCATAAAAGCCTCCTGCAGGCCCTGTCCAACCACCGTGGTTGTTAGCAGTGTCTGAGCACAAAGGGGAAGGTAACTGGCCTCTCAGGTTTCCTTCTCACTCCTACCTGCCTCTGTGCTGGCTTCTGGCCCATGGCGGGGTCTCTGTGGTGCTTGAGTTTTGCCAGCCTGTGAGCAGGTGGGCTCCTCCTTGGTGGATATTCAGTCCCCATGCCATGGATCCGCCAGTGCTTCTGCAGACAGGCAGCCTGCCTGGGACCTATCCTGACAGGGGAACCTTTGATCCTTCCCAAACTGTGCACTGAGCTCTTACTAGAGTGTTCTGGGGGAGAAAGCAGGGCGCCTGGGCGTGGTGGGATCTGGGAGGGGCCGTGGAGCCCCATCTACGTTTTTCCATGGTGATCTCAGATGACTCCTATCTCCACACTATTTATAGCTGAGCCTGGCTCTCAGGTCCTGTAAATCTGCCACTGAAGTTCTCTCCACTTAATGAAATCCGAATTGCAGACTTCAAGTTAAGACAGTTGTGTGTGTGTGGTGGGAAGGGGGAAGGCGGAGTGGAAAAAAGAGAGTAACATGTTTAAAAGCAGAAAAGATCTCTTCCTGGGAAAGTCACTCTCTTACTACAGTCTCAAGGAAGCCTTCCTAAGAAGCACCCCATGCATGGCGCACTCCAAATGGATTTCATCATCTTCCCCAAAACCATCTCGGGAAAGAGCTCTACTCTCCTCACAGCCATTTGAGCCAGACATCTGGCCCTCTCTCTATACCCTACCCTCACCACAGCCAGTCGGTCACCTCCTCGCCATTCCCATTGCTCTGCCTCATGCCAAGCTCTCATCACATTCTCCTGCCATCCTGCAACTTCCTCGGGTCCTCCAGCTCCTCCAGGGCTGGCATCCCGCACAGTGCTCATCCCAAAGCTTGTCCTATCACTCTGCTTAGAACCCTTTGTGGGCTCCCACATCTCCTTAGGCTAAACTCGCTGACATGGCTCACAAGTCCCTTAACAACTGTGGCTGACACGTGGTGCTCCCTGTGTGCCAGGCACTGCTCAGTCTTACTAACTCCTGTAGTGCTGCCAATAGTCGGCTGAGGTAGGTGCTATTATCATCCCCATTCTGCAGTAAGGAAATAGGCCTAGAGAAGTAGGTAGTTACCCACAGGCAGAAGTGGGGTGCACTGGCAGTCCAGCCCCAGCGCCTGCACCCTCCACCTCCTCTCTGGGTGAGGACCTGCTAGACCCATCTCTTGACACCCCTGGCGAGCCATCCTCTTGCCATATTACTATCAATCAGTCCGAGTAGCATGAGTGGCTCAGGCAAAAGCACCCCTCTAGAGGGCCGATTACTCCTCTTGCTCCTGCTCCCTCCTTTATCATTTAAGATTCAACAGACATGTTACCTGCCCATCCTCGGAAGATCTGACCCCTTCATTATGCCTCATACTTGATAGAGACCTGCCAGGGTACCTGTAATATTTTATCAAACTTGTTGGTACATCTTGTTCCTCTGTTAGGCATTATACTTATTTCTGATTCTTGTGCTTGGCACATAATAGCACTCAGTAAATGCCGTTGAATATATAAACAGATGCAAAATGCTTCCCGGAGACATGATGGAGGTGTTCAAGCTTGGCAGGAAGCAGTGGAGGGAGTGCAAACTACCGGTGGAGGTTGGTCCAGGTGACTCAAGGTTCCTTCCAGCTCTGGCAGTAAGCAAGTCTGGCTCTTGCGATGATAAGCAGTGTAGAGGGGTTTGTGAGGTTTGTACTCCCAGTTATGTCACTTATTCATCGTGACCTGGGGCAAGTTACTTCCTTCTCGGCCTCAATTTCTTTCATTAAAATGGGGGAAAAATACTAGAGTAAGTAGGTGCCTTTTCTCTTTCATCCACTCCCGGTAAGGTCAATGCCAGGGGAACTTGGCACAGATCTAGCCCAGTGTACACAGTGAGGATGTGTAAGGGGAACAGAAATATGGAATCCCCTTTCTGTGCCCTGAGCCTTGGGCTGGGGACCCAGATTCCAAGTCCTGACTCTGTCGCCAGGTCTCAGGGCCCTGGCCCTTTTCTTCTCCAGGGGCAAGTTGCTAATCCTCCTTGCAGAACCCGATGAGATGTGGATATGGGAGCCCTACCTAGACTGGCCCGGATTGTACTGAGGGAGGCGCTGGACTGGGGCACAAGCCTTGGTCCTCGCTGGTGCCAGCTTTATTGCCTTGAGCAAGAAACGTACCCTCTCTGCTCTTCTTTCCTCATCCATGACGTGGTGACAACACTGACGTTCCAGACTTGCTGGAGGGGCTGTAATGAGGTGTTGAGTGTGCAAGCGGTGTCATGAGGACTGCCCTCCTGGCATGCTTGCTCAGCTAACGTGAAGATGCTTAAGTTTGGTTCATGTAAACCCTCTGGTCACCTCAGGCAAACCTCCTCCGCTCTTTGGGCTTCGGTTTTGGTTTCTCCACATCTACCCCAAGCTGTTGGACATTCCGACAGTTCCAGGAACCTGGCTAGACACAGTTTTGTCTTACCAGACTGCCCACCAATTTGTTATTCTTTTGACAGTGTGTAGGAGCTCAGGCACCAGCTGAACTCTAGGCCCCAGACTGGGAGACCTGCGTGCCGCCACGCCCCTCCCCGCAGCTCCCTGCCACAACTCCAATACTACACCTTCTTGGGTGGTTCTGCTTTATGTGCTCAGTGTGAAGCACAAGCTGATTTGGTTCTTGTTGCAGCTCGTACGCATCGATCTGGTGGCCGCAGGTCTACCGGCTCAGCTCGGGAACTGGAAGACATCTAAGTATAGACAGACTTTTTTCCTCTGGGCAATAGCTTCTTGTCTCTGCCACACTAGCAGCCCCCCGACTGCCACCTACTGGTTCTACAGACTTCTTTGCCCCCCCAACCCCCGCCTCCCTCTCTCGTGGCTGATATAGCTTGCTGCTTGGTCTTCATCTGCAGACACTTAATTCATTTCAAAACACTCTCCCTTGTCACAACAAAGGGAACCCCCTACCCCCATCCCCACTCATTCTATAAGCTAATGCCTTCAGCCTGCAAGCTCCTGGCTATTGCTTTCTTCTTTATGGCACTTAACTACTTTGTTATGTGATCAGTGTTTGAGTTTATATTGTCCCTGGGAAAATGTCAGGGTTAACCATAAGGGGACACAGATAATCGAGAGGCATCTTAGGGTGGAAACTGTTGTTTACATAGGCAGGAGGTCGGCCAGCTCCGAGGAAGAGCTGAGGGAAAATTTCCAGCAGGTTACGACCCTTAGTTTCATTAAGGTCAACTGAACTCCTTATCTGAAATGGATTAAGGATTGTCCACTGCAGGGCCTCTGTACACAAAGCTAAAACAGTGAAGCTGGATAGGGCGGTTTTATGCCTGTGTGGTCAACAACTTAGAAGTAATTTATGAATGAATCTACACTACCGCAGAACCTCATCAGTGAACGCTGACAAACTGCAGGGTTATTACACAACCCACACATAACTGTCCTTTAAAAACAACCGACTTCAGACTCCGTCAAAGTTAATAAGAAGCTTCACAGTGCTTTCGAGTCACAGCAGTGGTTCCTGGAACACAGCTGGCTTACTTACATCTCATCTCCATTCCTTTCCAGTGAGGAAGAGGAGGCTTGCAGATTTGACTGGGCCCATCATTCCCAAGTGCCGGAGTGGCGTCTAGTGTGTGGTGACGATGACCATGCCTTTGAACTGGACATGTTCTACTGATAATCTGTGCTCTGCAGTGGAAATCAGAAAGCAAAATGCCGGCACAAAAACCCTTTTGTGGTTCAGTTCTTTATGCACTAAGGTTTTAGGTTAACTAGTGGTTGCAGTTGAAAATTTTATAAACTATGGTTAATATGAAGTTTTTCTTTAGTCACAGAAGTTAATCTGGTTATTATTTAAAAAACTAAGAAGCCCCAGAACTGACAGATCTTACTGAAGACGTTATAGCAGCAGTGACTTAAGCCCAAGAGCTTGGTTTTGTGGCCTTGCTTTGTGATGTTTCAGATATATTTAAAATGTGTAACCCATAAAAAACAGCACACTCTTCCATATGGTTTAGAAGCATTATAAAATACTTTATTACAAATTTGATCTTAGCTAGTTAGCAAAAGATCATAATTCTTTATTAACCTCCTTTAAATTTTAAGAACCTCGAGATTAAAGCTGACAAACTGATTATAGAGTCAAGAATACAATTTTGTCCCTTGAGAAAGACAGACTGAAGCCACAGAGCTCTGCTAGGAATCAAAGAACATGAGGTTCCTTTTGCTGGATACAAGGAAATAACAGAAAAGCCAATGGTAAAATTTCAAGTTTCAAACACCATCTTTCTTCACTAATCCCAGGCAATAAAATTCCTTATGAACATCTGGGATTTCTTTAAAATTTAATACTAGAGTCAGAATTTTTTCCTTATCGAATGCCAAACTCATGGTGGATGTGAAAACCTATGGCCAAATACTATAGAAAACATCTTTCTACATTGCACAGTGGACTAATGGCTTATGTGAAATCAAACAGAGGGGTAAATTTCTAGTCCATCGTGGCTATGCTGACGGATCTCAACTACCTGTGGCAGCACTTACTAGACTAGTCACCGCTAATTTCCTGCCTGTAAAAATTAAGCCTCTGAAAGCCAGTGATAAAGATCCAGATATTAAAGAATTAGGAACCCTGGCCAAACCATCCCAAGATGATGATTCTGACAATGCAATTGTGGCATTGCTGCCGCATCCTTTTTAACATCGTGTGCACCTCTTGGGATCTAGCAAAAATGTTAAGCCAAAATGCCCTTGTGCCTTTTAATATACCACAGTGCCAGTTAAGCTAGTATTTCTGTTGCCTCGGGAGTTACTTTCATGAGTAACTGGTTAAATCTTACAATCAAGGACAAGCCAAAGAACTGATGAGCACAGACTAAGCAGCAGAGCACTGAGCAGAGAGGTTTTTGATCAAAAATGAAGTCTTGCACCCTGAACTGTAATGATGTGGACGGTACAGGGTAACCAGAGGCGAAGCCAGGGCCTCACCACTGTGGAAGAGTGTCTACTGAGGCTGCAGATGGGCCCTTGAGTGGCACCATGCTCCAGTGACAGCCAGGTCCACTGGCTTTGCCTTGAAACACAATTGCAGCTCTATTCTGCATCACTGGAAACTGCAACATCATATTAAATCTGTTGGTCTACGAATAGCTGCGTGTTTCTTGGGACCTGAGTGACAGGGACATGTGTCCAATATGTTGGCCAGAAGGCTGGGAAACCACCACGGCAGTGCTGAACAACCTTCACTCAAAGTATCTTATATTCCGAGGTACTCATCTAAAAACAACTGTCCAAATGTTAGTGTCATTATGCTAGTTTGAATCTCTCAAAGAGAAAACTTAAAAGCTAAGAGTGTGGTGGGTGTTGCGGGGAGCAGAGACTACTAGGGGGGTATCTCTGGCATAAACCAAGGCAATAAAAAATGAAGGTGGGCCACATCTTTAAGACTATCTGCTCCATCAGATGAGCTGTTGGTCTAGACCAAGAGGTGGCAATTTTTTTCTTTAAGGGGCCAGATACTAAATATTTTATGCTTTGCAGGCCATGTTTCTGTTGTAAATAAGTAATTCTGCCATCAATCTTTGTAAATAAATGGGTGTGGCTATTCCAATAAAACTGTTTACAAAAGCAGGAGGTAGGCCAAATGCTGGAGTTTGCAGATCCTGGTCTAGCACTCTCAGGCTAAGAGACACAAGGTAGGGTAGAGGTGGATGGCAGGTGACCTACAGAACCTAGTTCCAGAGTCTACTTCTAGCGCCAAAGCTTTTACATTTCTGCCATCAAGACAGACAGGTTTGGTGACAAGAAAAATTACTACCAGTCCTGCTGCATGGCACCGAAAGGGCATGACTTAGTTACCAAGCTCAAGGCTGTATCCCTCAGCAGCTTTGGAATCCCACACAGATCACCTTTCTTTACGCTCTAGCACCTTCTGAGTCAGAATGTCTCAGGTAAGTGGTCAGTGCCAAGTCCCTCTGCCCTCCTCCTGTGAAATACATGTGGCCAATACGGTGACTAGTTAGCCATGGTGGTAATGGCCAGCACTAAATTTACCCATTTCTCTGTTGTTGTAGCCTTGATATTCTTCAATCTGTGGTAGCCCCAAACCTAGCTTTGTGCAGGCTCAGAAATGCTGACGGTGCTACTCACTGGCCCGGCCCATCCTCCCCAACATCAGGCCTTGGCTCTGGATTCAGGGGGAACTGTGTCTGCTGTGAAAGTTCGCTGGGTATGCGTGGTCGTCGGGCTGTACACTCACATTCCTCTTTAAAGCTATTCTGGGTAGGGCCAGAAGCTGGCCTGTTCCCCTTGTCTTGACATGTGACACAACACGCTGTGAATCCTTGTCCTTGGCAGGCGGGGCAAGTCAAGACAAGCTGGCGGCACTGGGGAGTGGAGCAGAGTCTATACTGGTCCCATGGGGCACCACAGTATGAACATTCTGAAGGAAGAAAAGCCTTTGTTACAAACACACACATGTGCACACAGAGACAGGCGCTTCTCCAGTTCCTAAATATGTCTTAGCTCATCAGAATCTAATATATCCTGTTGTGCCTGGGAAGGTTTCTAAACAGTAAATCTGTTTTCTAACAAAAAAAAAAATGCTCCCCATCACCACTTTTTTTGGGGAAGGAGGTGGCTTCTGGGAATTGTCTTCCTGGTTCTAACATTCACTGACCCATTCCCCCCCCCATTAAAAAAACAGGTACCAGCACTTTTAATAACTATTCCAAAGCTGCCCAACCAACCACCTCTTGTTCAATGGCCTTTTGCCTTTAGATCATTCCCTTTTTCAGTGGAAGACAACACACCTGAATGCAGATGATCCCACAGTGACATTCAGCTTCTGCAGTCTACATCCCTCATCCCCAGGCCTGAGGTTCTCCTGCAGGTGCTGGTGGACACGTGACCACCTGGATTCCTAAATCTCACATTATCTACTTTCTCAGTTGGTTTTTCCCGCTGACTTCCTATTGTCATTGATAATATCATTCTTCTTCAAGTCTCCTTAGCAAGCTTATCTAAGCTACCCTTGGGCCTTCTCTCTCCCCTCTGTATTCCATCTTAGCTCCAAAACAGATGTGAAGTCGCTTTCAATAAGACACAAATATAAGACTACCAAAATGAATTTAAAAGATCAATCAAAACTCACATCTTATTCATTAGCTGAGAGGTAATGCCATCTTTCTCTGATCCCAGGAGATGCAGAAGTTTGCAACAGTCACTAGGGTTGTCTGCAACCTTTCCTATTCAAGACTGTGGCATCCAGGGGTAAGAGCCATTGTTCTAAAAGATGATTCCCATCCTTCATCGACTGCCCTCATGTTACTACATGTGCCCTTGTCTGGTAGCATGTTAGGGTAGACTCAAAACTACAGTCAAACCACATACTTCCTGTGACCTTCCCTTCTGTGACAATTCCTGCCTCTGGCCTCGGCCCGAGGTTCAGCTCTGACCTTGGAATGCCCCACTCACCTAAGTTAAGTACCCACCCCGTGAGTCCACAGACCATCTAAACTAGGGGTGCTTTGATTCTGTGCCATGGATTTACATGGCAGTCTAGTGAAGACTATGAACTCTGTCTTAGAAAAATGTTTTTTAAGTGTATAAACTACACAGGATTACAAAGGAACCCAGTTACGTAGAAATGCAATATTTTAAATTATTTTTAAAAATCTGGGATACATTAAGATATTTATTAGCACATTAAATAATAAGACTTAATGGTGGGCCGAATAACTTTCTATTTTGAAGCAATGAGGAACATAAATGCTATTTTGAGATATCTGGAGCCACTAAAATCTATGAAAATATTGTGATTTCTATTGATGACAGTCACAGGCACGTCTAATATTACTGGTTTGTTGCTTACATTTATAATAGAAGAAAGTACTACATTTAGTGAGTTATAAAAAATATAAAATTATTATAATTATTTTCCCATCAAAATTCACAGAATGCCTGAATTCTATATATTGACCCAGGTCAAGACTCTTGATTTAACCTATCCAACTCCTAGCAGGTAGATAGAGCGAGGGACATTATCCTCATTTTAAAGGACTTGCCTAACCAGTAAATGGTGAAGCCAGGATCCAAATACAGGCCTCTTGACTTCTGGTCCAGGGCTCTGTCTGCTCTGCTGCAGGATCTCCAACTCTGCTGGGCAATGGTGGCACTGTGTACCTCCTTTCCCTGTTTTATTCTTCATGCAATCAGTACTATGCCTTCCAGAATGGTTAATACGCAGTGTGCCTGATCACAGGTTCAGGTTCTAGGCTTCTGCTGACCTACCTGACACCACGTCATTGTTGTAGGACAAGGCATAACGGTCATCGAAAACAAACAACTTCCCCTTGTAAAAACCATCCGGAAACTCTTCCAGGTACTTGTGGATGCCGCCCTTGAGCTGGAACACTTCCTTACACACTCCCTATGTATGGAAAAACAACAGGAAGTGTGAGGAGACAAGCAGAGAACAGTAAGAAGCTCCACAGAGCGGCGTGGCGGGAGGGATGCCAAAGAAGGGGCTCCTGGCTCCCACTATAGGACACTGAGAAATTGCTGACCAAGGGGGTCAAGGGACCAACTGGCCAGACCCTGCCTACCGGGGGGATGGGTGACGACAGCACTCAGGGCCTTCGCTCTCTAGATCCATCGAAGCCCAACTATTTTTGCTGCCCCCTAAATATAGGAAGACACCTGTTGTGACATGTAATGTTACTGAATTTTCTCTCCTCAGGATCAAGAAAAAGGATTAGGAAAAGGGAGAAAGTAACTGATCTTTCCCTTAGTTACTTGATGAATCTTAGAGACTGTTAAGTGCTTTTCATATTTTGAGATTAAGAACTTCTTATTTTATACTTACAAACTGTAGGCTGAAACCATACAAGGGGACAATAAACCCCTGGCTGGCTGGGGGAGGAGAAGGGATGAAGGTGGGGGGTGGAAAGCTCCACAAATGCAGTGGGTGAAGCCTTATTCACCACCAGGCCCGCAGGGCCCCAAGGGTGGTGACTCACCTTGGCTTTAAGGTAGGCTGAACCCCGCTCACAACGGATGCCCCCAGTGCAATACATCAGTACCCTCTTCTCTCTGAAAAGTTCCAGATTTTTGTCAACGTAGCTAGGGAAGTAACTGAATTTCCTGATGTCTGGGGCTAAGCAGCCCAGGAATCGTCCCTACAACATGGGAGCAGCACAAGGAAAATGATCAGAAAAGCATACCTGGTAGGAACGAAGGTTCTTTTCTGTGTCAAACACCCCTTCCCCCACCCCCACCCAAGAAACTACCAAGAAAGGAAATGCTTGGTAGTTGTTGTTCTCATCCAACACTCTGACCTTTCAACTTTAAGATCTGGAACTTGGAGGCAAGGCTGATGGTCTGTGGGTCACTTTGCCAGAGTTCTCAGAAGAACTGGAGAGGCTGCCCAAAGCGAATTTTACAAGATCCTTGACATATGTCAAGGGTAGGCACATGGGAGCCAAAAAGTACATTACGTGCCAAGATGTCTTTAATTCATATTTTCTTAGACATTCTTACTAGATCCTGAGTTCAAAGGCTTGGGTTTTCTCGGACGCTGCTAGCAGCAGGAAGAGATCCATGTGACGTGGCCACAGGTGAACACACACACAGTATCCCCTTTGGAAACATGCCATGTTGTGGGGACTCAGTTCTGTTCTTACTATTTTGCTTTCATAGAAGTTTCTGCAGTCCAGTAGAATAGTATCGTTTTGTTCTTGATTTGCCTGAGACAAAAACTTTCCTACTTCTTTATGAAATTCACCTGGGGATAAATGGATTCCTAAAACCAAACCAAAAAAAAAAAAAAAAAAATAGTTAAAACAAAACAAATTAACAAAAATAAAACCCAATCACTATTGATCCAGGCCAATGACTTACATGTTGTTTCTTTCCACCCAAACCTTTTCTCTTAATAATTACGATTATGTCTCAAAATTACATTATCCGATGATCATAAAATAATTTAGTAATTCTAGGTACCCTCACTCTCTCCCCACCTAAGATGAACACTACTGGGGGACCTGGCAGTTGAGAAACAGTCAAAAAATCTGCACCCTCATACCTGAACTAACCCAATGATAAAAGCCAGACAGTTGGGATCTACATTGCTAAGTGGGTTTTGTTGGTCCATTGGATGGCCAGTGTTCTATTGTCACTATACATGGAGGAGCCTATACATGTATATGCTTGACAACAGGCTTTATAAACGGTTCTATACCACGGTCAATCTCAAGTTCAAGGCTAAGAACTTTGGCACACGCAAGTGTGATAAAGTTGGAATGTGTTTTTAAAAAATCCAAAAGGGTAATAAGCATATATCTTAAGTTTGTGTATATGACTAAGAGAAAAGGTGTGAGGGTTGACATTTTTTACGCCAATGGAGAGGAAAGAATGAGAAGATGGAGGAGTGAAAGCAGACGAAGAAGATAAGCAAAATATAAGGAGACTAAAAACAAGAGAACCTATCTTGGTGGGCCCTTTGCCTTCTTAACTCTCCAGGATAAAATATTCCTGTATCTTCAGGAAACTGAGGAACTTTTGGTGAATTTGGCAGGGTGGAGTAACCACACCTCGTGGGCAGGGGCTCTGGTGACTTTAGTCACCACTCATGATAGAGTTTGAAAGCACCAAAGGAGCCTCTTTCTGTTTAGGAATGAATCCCAACAACCACCTGGGAACGCTGAGTAACAGGTGGGGCTAGAGCCCCTGAGCATGGCCAAAGAATCTGGATTCCGACCTGCCCAATCTAGGATTTTAGGGAGAATGCAAGAAGGCTAGATATATATTTAAGTTATCACACGGTCACCAAAACAGTGGGGTGAAAAGGGAGGTTCAAACATGGTGAGAAGCAAGGAAATCTACTAAGAAATCTGCTAAGAGCCACAGGGAACCAAACCCATTCCCACTGCTATTGTTGCTGCTCTCCTGGTCCTGCAAGGGCCTGGCTGGACACTGAGTCACATCGACATGTATAAAAGAGGTGCCTTCAAACGACTTGGCTCAAATGAAAACGGCGTAGTACAGCCTGGAGCCCACTCTCCCCTAACCTCCTGAGCAATGTCCTGTAGTGCCAAGGAAGAGAGATTTGCAGTCATCCCGCCTCCTCCTAATAAGGTCAGGACACAAAGCAGACACGGCCCTTTTTGCCCCTTCTCTCATGTATTAAGTCTCTTTTCCCAGATGCTTGTATCTTTCCTCCATTTCCCCCTGGCTTAACTCTTAACGCCTTTTCAATATTTACATGTTAAAAAATGAACATAGAATCAGTCAGAAGTTTTTGCTTCCTGATGAAAGGAGACAATACCACCTATGAAGTAGTCTTGGGGGGCAAAAAAAGAAAAAGAGGAAATCCAACCTGAATCTGGTCAGGTGTCTAGATCTGAGCTGTCCAATATGGTAGCCACTAGCCATATATGACTAGCCGCACATCCGTGAAATGTGGCTTGAGATGTGCTGAAGTAAGAGTAACACAGCTACAGGATATTAGGGACTTAGTATGCAAAAATAAAGTAAAATATCTCAATAATTTTTTACATTAGACACATTGAAATAGTATTTTAGCTACATGGTATATTATTGAAATTAATTTCACTTGTTTCCTTTCACTTAAGATGTGACTACTGGAAAATATAAAATTCCTTATGTGGCTCACGATATATTTGTATCAGACAGCACTACTCTAAAGCTAGCTACCAATTTACAGAAGATTCAGAGGACAGAGGAACAGCCCATGGAGATGCAATCAGCATTATCCTGACTGTGGGAAACTCTACAGATGAAATGATCTAGTTCCTTCAAAAAATAAACTTTACGGGAAAAGAAAAGATGGAGGCGAATCTATAAGTTAAAAGAGACTTAAAGAGACAGTGATCAAACACAACGAGGGGACCTTACTTGAATCTCAACAGAAACACACTTAAAAAATTACGAGATAACTGGGAATTTTAAGCGCTGGCTAGATATTTGGTAATATTAAGAAATTATTGTTACAAATGTTTTAGACATGATGACAGTTTTACATTTATCTTCTAGAGATATATACTAAAATACTTATGAATAAAATGACACAACACTGGGATTCCCTTCAAAATAATCCAGGATGGGGAAACAGGGTGGGGATAGATGAAAGTTGGCCATGAACTTGTAATTACTGAAGGTGTGTGAGGTACATGGGAGTTCACTATACTATTTTCTCTGTTTTTAATGTTTAAACATTTCATACTAAAAAATCAAAACAAACAAAAAGCTCTGCCAAACAAATGTCTTTCAACCATCTATGGTAATCATGAGGAAGAGGGAAAAGAGAACGTTCTAGAGCACCTGCAAACATACTGATTTGGTGTTGAAAGCCACTGGCTACCCATAGCAAAAAGCCTGTGTGTTTTAATCAGCTGATGAACTATTTACAAGTAATGATTACATTCTTCCCAAACTGCTACTTTGGCAAGAGAAAACAAGTTCTTGCCAAACCATCAAGAAGAATAACTAAGACAGGTCATTCTGAAGGGCAAGTCAATTACCATAGCACCAAAGAGAAGACCAATTTAAGCATTCAATGACCCAAATATCAGCCACCCCACAGCTATTTTAAAGAAAGGATATATCACAACTCTTGCTGGTCAGTCTGTCTTAACTTTCACATTTATCTCTATATTGTTTTAACTTTTTGAAGAAAAATAATTTTTTTTTTTTTCTAAAAGCAAGCATACCAGGCTTCTTGTAGGAGATCTTATTGGGACTGATCCCCATAGGCACAATTTCTTCAAATACACCAACACGCAATTCTGGAAAACAGAAAGCTCCTCCTTTGCTGGCCTAGCCAATGAGAAACAAAACAGAATATGGTTCTCACTCTATCTCCAGATATAAGACATTTACGAGCAATATTATTTCCCTGTGTGGTGTGGAGTGCCGATCTGATCATTCCAGGTTGACTACAAATGTAGTGATCCCCTGAAATGGCCAGGATGTCTCTCACGTGAACAAACATGTCTAAGTATTAGAGTTTAGACTGTGTAAGCTGTCACATCCTTCCTCCATAAGAAGAAAGAATGAGGTCCAGAGATGGCACTAACTTGCCCAAGATCACATGGCAACTTAGTGGAAGAAGTGGAATGAATGTACTCCTTCTACTGCACTGCCTCGTAACCTAAGAGAGAAAAGGTAGTTATCTGCTTATTTCTCTACACTAACCTCTCCTTCATAACCTACAGTAGGAAGAGGCACCGAGGCAGAGGCAAATGGCTCTAGATCCATTTTATTTTCATTTTTTCTTACCTTAAAATCATCCTTACACAGATAATCTTTAAACAATGGGCAGGAAAGCATGACTTCCACATAGAGTCTGGTCGCCAATTTGCTTCCACCAACTGTCCCATTGATTCCTTCTGTAGCAATTCGAACCTGAGACACAAGATGATGAGAGAAAGGAAATACCGTCTGCTCTTAGCTTAGTTTAAATCTTCCCAGGGCAGAACAGGCTCATGTGTTAATGAATTTAACAGGAAAAGCAGACACTGCTGTGGACACCAAAGTGTAACCACACAAAGGTACTTGTAGTTTTATAAAATGGCACTGCCCACAGTTCAGACGAGGCACTCAGTTAAAGTGTTGCTGAACAAGAGAATGAAATGAAGCTACTGGAAAGCCCCATGTGCCATGGAGCTCCAGTTATCCAATAGCCAAAGAACTGAATTTTGAGCTCAATCCAGGTCAGATCTAGAATCAAGATTCAGCTTTGCCGCTTACTTGCCAAGTGGCCCTGAGAAAATTAATTTACTTCTCTTCAATTTCTTCATCTTGATAAAACAAGAATAAAAGAGAACCGACAATGAAAAACACTGCTTGGAAGATATTACCTAAGTCCTAAAGCACAGATCACACCTGAGGGCTGGGAATGGGAGTGAGTACATCTCTGCATAGTGTTTGGGGAAAGCCCACCATTGCAAACCCACCCCCAGGAATACAAGTTCCAGGAGTGTGTTTTTCTGTTTTGTTCACTGTTGCATTAACGAGTGCAAAGCACAGTACCTGCCACATAGTAAGCATTCAATACGCATCTATCAAACACATGAACGTGTATCCATATGAGACTTTCTGACTTCTCAAACCCTCTATTCTCTTTGAAATGCTTCACTGGTTAGGGGTCATTAGAGCCTGGGTTAAGGCCCCCGCCTTAAGAAGCAATGCTCTGGGAGCCCTGAAAAGTTAGTTGTTTTGATACTACAAAATCCTTTGGATGACTTTAAAGATGGATTATCTTTGGATAGAGCGGAGCTCTCTACAGAAAAGTGCTAGAGAGAAAGTGAAACACTGTATCATGATATTCTCTGGAAAGAGGTAATTTAATTCATACTGTTATCACTACCTATATAATAACAATACCCCCCAATGCATTAGAATTTGAAAAATTTAAAAGGCTCCCCTTTTTCGGGGCCCAGAGAAGATGCTTTATTTGTGCCCTCGCTTGATTCAATTCTTTAGGGCATGGATACAAAGGGGATTCATTTCACAAGCCAATGCCAACACACTAGTGGTAACTATCCATAGTTCCATGATAAGCATTCTGGATCATATCCTTCAGAGTACAGAAGTCTAGTGAAGCCTGTTCTGGGCATGAGAGAGGAAAGCAGAAAGCATATGCATTCTCTCTTGTACAAGCTACTGTACCTATTACTAACTCATATATTTTTTAAGAGACTACATAGAAAAATAGAGCAGAACCAAAATAAAGGTTAGGAAATCTACCATAAAACTGTTTCAGATGTGACAAAGAGGTACGTAACTGTCTTTCGGGTAGGCTAGGAGATTCTTTCCTATGTTATCTTAATCTCAGAACCCAAATAAAAGACAAGCACATCCACTCCCTTTATAGCAATCTCTAAACTCATGTACTAGACTTTCAATTCTGGGATTCTTCAACAGTAACCTTCCAAGGAGCTCCTTGATGAAGAAGGCCTTAAACCTTCAGATGAAAAGCAATAGTTAGCATTTATGGAGCACCTGTTATGAGACAGGAGCTTTATATTATTATCCTGAGTGCGGATATCAAAACTCCCATTTGACAGAAAAGGAAACAGAAGCTCAAAGAAATCAAGTAACCTACACAAGGGCACAGAGTTGGTAGGTGTAAATCTGGGATTTAAAACCAGATCTTATTGGCTCCAAATCTTGTAATTTTTTCCTATCCAAAGCTTCCACTGCATTCCCTCAAATATCTTGAGGAAATAAGGAACGTATAGCAATAGAGAACAGAAGCTTATTTCCACAATTCTAGAACTTTTAAGTTCTCCTCTTTCTCTACCTGAATGCCAATATTCTGCCAAATCTACCAGCAGAAAACTATTTCAGTAAAGTGGGCGTGTATCCTTGAAGCCTAAGATTTTAGACTTAAGATCCAGGCAGGTGCTGCCACCTTGTGGTTAGAGACCCTCACTGCTAGTTTACCTCAGGCTGAGTCAAGAATAAAAATCTGCCTCTAAACCAAGGAGATAGGTATCTTTTTTGGACATTCAGGTTTACCGTGAGAATATCCACCTTTCAAGGTGTTCTTTAAACAGAGATTATGATTCAATCCACAGATGTTTACTAATTATTTTTACTATGTGCCAGGAATTGTGCTAGAAATTAGGGATATAATGGTTGGAAAAAATACCATTCTTGCCCTCTTGGAGTTACAGACTGAGGTCACACATTAAAATAATAGCTACAAACTGACAAATGCTATAAAATTACTATAAGATGCTATGGGAGTGTATTTGAAAAAAACAGATTTAGACTGAAGTTCAGGAAATCTCTCTGAGGAAGTGTCATTGAGAACTGAAGATTGAGTAAAAATTAGACAGGAAAACCAAGTAGGTGTGGTAGAGTTCCTTGAAGAGTTTTCTTGTAAAAAGGCCCAAAGACATAAAAAAAACCTTGGGGGCTCCGTGAAACCGAAAGACCCTGTTGCTGGAGTATAATGAGTAAAGAATGGTACTAGATAAGCAGAAAAAGTAAGAAAGGGCCAAATAATGCAGGAACTTAAGGGCATGTTTAGGATTTAGGTTTTACTCTGAATGCGCTGGATAGCCACTAAAAGATTTTGAGGGGGCGGGGAATATGATTTTATTTAACTTTTAAGATCATTCTGGCTGCTGTGTGGAGGAGAATGAATTAAATGGCAGGCAAGGAAGGAAGAATGAGAGTAGTTTGGAAGCTACTGAAATGGCCTAGGTATGAGAGGGTGGGGGCTTTGTCTAAGGTTATGGAAGTGGAGGAGAGAGTAAAGAGAGTCAAGGGATATTTTAGAGGTAGAAATGGCAGGACCAAGTGATGAACTGAATGAAGTAAATGAAGCTTTCGGTCACTATCTGTTATAAAACATGAATGTGAACCATATCACTGACTGATCAAATGACTGCCTCAGGGAATTAAAACCTGGGACATGTGTGGGAAAGAAGGTTTAAGATAGTACCATGTCATAACCAGACGGTTATGATTTAAAAGTGTTTGAATATACACGTGCATCTATATGCAATCATCGAGGATATTAAAAAAATAAAAAGAAAATAATCCATAATCCACTTGTAGAAATATTCACAATTAACATTTTGATATTTACTACCCTCCATCTTTATATACAGACACCCTAGGGTTTTGTTACAAACATATATTCATGCCTTTATTCAACTTTCTCCAAATATTTACCGTGTTATGTGCTAAGCCCTGTTCTAGCACTGACGATATATCAATTAAGACAAAATTCCTATCTTCATGAAGCTTATATTCTAAAAGGAGCTAGATTAAAACAAATTAAAGATAATACTTCCAGACAGCAGTAAATTCTTTGAAATTCTCAGAGCAGAAAGGAATAGAAAATGATGAGGTCTACAGAAAAGAGTACTTTAGATTAGCATTCTGAGAAGATAACATTTGAGCAGAGATCTCAAGTGGGGGATGAGCCATGTGAAGATCTAGGGAAAAAGCATTTTAGAGGGGAAGGGAACAGCAAATGCCACTACCATGAAATTGAAAGATCTTGACATGTTCTAGGAAAATTAAGAAGCAATTTGGAATCACATCTATATGTATAGTTCCATAAAATGGTTTTTCAGGTACCATATCAAGAACATTTCCCTATGCCGGGATCAGCAAATATGTCTGCTTTTGCATAGATTTGTTGGAACATAGGCATACCCATTCATTTATATATTGTCTACAGGCATACCCATTCATTTACATATTGTCTACAGTTGTTTTCATGTTACAACAGCAGGGCTGAGTGGTTTTTTATGCAAAGCCTAAAATATTTACTGTTTGGCTCTTTAAGAAAAAGTTTACTGACCTCTGGTCTATGCCATTAAATATTCTTATAAAATACGTTAAGAGATATTTAGTATTCTATTTAAATGCCTAGCAAGATTTCGCTAATTTCTAAAAACACAAAAGTGAACCCTTTGTAAGGAGCATAGCCTCTGCAATCCAAGTCAGAGGCCAGACGAGCCCAGTGAAGGGCAGGGTGTGGGAGGCGTTACCTTGCCTGTGAGGTGCAGGTGCTGACATAGAGCTGTCTGCCAGGCACAGATCCAGTGGGGATCCTCTAGGTCACAGTAGCAGTAATAAAGTAGCACCTCCCCCTCATCACTGCCCTGGCCACTGTAAAAAGAAAATCACTGGCATAAGGAAGCCACGATTCATAAAGTATACCCAGGCAGAATCAGAGGCCGGGCTGAGATGGAGCCACTTGTGCCTGCCATTGTGCCTATTACTGTTCTCCTGAAATGGGAATCAATTCCTATCTGTAGTTGCTCTGAAGAAGAAAATATCTGCATTTTATAGCTGAGTAAACTGAGGCCAATTCCTTCCAGGTAAAACAGCTACCAAGTGATAGTCAAGACTCTGAATACCAGTCTTCTGACACTAGAATCCATACTTTCTACTGCACTGTGCTGCCTTCTAGTAACTAGTCATGGGACCTGGGTGGGTCTCTTATCCCACTAGCTGGATTTATTATCTCTGAGCTTTCATTTCCTCATCTGTAAAACTGGAGAACTGAAATAAGCTGCATTTTCCAAAGTGTGCTCTGAAGCTGTTCTATGAAATTACATGTTTGAGAAATCCTGCTGGCAACATCTCCCTCTTTGAGTCATAGTGAAAGCTCCTTATCTATTGAAGGCTCTGAGAAGTCCTGCAATAAAGATACTTTAACCTGGTGCTTCCCAAACCTATTTGTCTTTAGTACCTCTTTTCAGTACCTGATAGCATCCTCCACAACTAATGTTACACAGACATATTTTAGAGGATGCTATAGTAGAAGATAATTAAGGTCCTATCCAGCTCTGCAATCTATAACTCTTTCAGTATCCTCGTTATATTACAGGGCCTGTCCTCCTCCAAAATCCTGTCTATTTTAGAGCCTATCTATTTTCCTTTCTCTAAACTCCAGTAACAAATTATCTGAACCATATAATTTAACTAATAATTATGTAACCTGTCTCATATCACGTGCTAATAATTGTTTTATGTCTTTTTGTTTGTTTCTCTAACTAGAAATTCCTTGAAATGCAGGGCCACACAGAAATAACAAAGCCACATCTGTATAGCACCTTACAGTTCACAAATGTTCTTACCATGATCATTTCATATAATTCATACAGCAGCAATATTGTGAGGTAGGCAGGGCAGGCATTATTATTCCAATTTTAGAAGTGAGGAAATGAAAATAAAAAGAATTTTAGTGACTAGCAAAATCGGATTCTAAGTTCAATTCTCTTTCTCCTCTTCTTTCTGATAAACAAGGGGAATTTGGCACTAAATACTAGTGACAAAAGTGTGTCAAATTTGGACATTTTCTATTCATCAAATAGTTTAGAAATTGCTTAAAATCAGAAATCTGTCCTCTAAAATTCTGTAATATTATGATTTGGTGAGTTTTTTCAAAGGCAGGACCTAAACTCCTAATCCTATGCCTCAGTTCTAAAAGTTAAAATCTTTTCTAAAACATTCAGCTCAGAAAACCACATTTGGTAGCAAAATCCCTTTTGCAAGCTCTGATGTTATTCAGAGTAGAGGAATCATTTAACATTTCTGGGCCTTCCAATTTCTCTTTGAAAATAATACAATTTTTGCTCTTTACTTCTCCCTAAAGATAAGATGTACAATTGCTTCCAAGTAACCTAGCGACAATACCAGCTGTGTGGGTATATGCTACTGCATAGGCGATGATCTCCTATTAGACATAATACACGTTTATTGGCCTAGCTTAGGCCTTTCGAGAGATTCTGTGCCTTTAGGATCTTGCCATTTTAGTGAATGGGTAGCGATAGCTCATTGTGGCTGGAAAAACATTTAAACTAAACCAAAATACAGAATGAAATTCTTACCTTGTCTGCTCATCAAGGCTAAAGCAGCTTATATCAGGGAGCCAAATGGATACTTCATGGTTACGAGTAAGATATTCTATTACAGGGTTCTTTTTGTCTGCAGACTTAAGACTCTTTGAGGTGTTCAATGTTACAGCCAGCTGCTTTAAAATAGAAGCAGTCTGGTGGCAAATCTCATCTGCATGTTGTGTTGCCACATGTCTATGGATGCTGGTCTGGTCTGTGAATAGCTGAAGACAGCATTTCCACCATTTTTCTTTACATTCAAAAGAAGGTGCCGGAACTTCTTTGGTTTTGACAAAAAGGGCAAATGCCTGAAATTACATTTCAAACTGTCACTGTTAAATACCCTTAAGTTTAAGGCTAAAAGAAGTCTCAGTGAAATCCCTTCTATTATGTTTCTACAGGGGTTTCTGGTTTATGTCCTACTATTCTGTAGAACTTCCTGTGAGAGAACGGTTTTAATAGCAAGCTTTATACCAGCTGGACCAAATCAGGAGTCTTAGATAGCAAATGCCCTATTATCTCCCTATTCTACTTATGACTAAGTCTTCTGGGTTCCTGGGATTCCTCCTGTCACCCTCGATTGGGAAAGGAATCTAGCCCACCTGTCTAGGATCTGTCCCCAAGTGCTCCACCATAAGTTTTCCAAAACCACACCCCGCCGATGATTCTCCTTTGTCTGGCATTGAATTAAGATCACTAGTAATGGCCCCAACTAGACCTTACCTTGAACATGGCAGCAGCCTAGTATCTTACTAGCCCTCTGTTCCTTGGAGGATAATCTTGATAAACTACTTCTAGTCCTATCTGCCTTAGCTATACACACATGATCCCAAAACATTAATGGCAATTTTACCTTTTTTTTTGCAAATGAGTATTTCTTCTTTGTATTGACATCTAGCTCTGCTTTGAGACTGCTATTGGGATTGATAAGACTTGTATCTTTCAAATCCAGGTCTGCAAATTTTAAAATACAGGACTCCTGGTCATCTCCCTGGTCTGGTGAAGTGGAAGAAGGCATCTGGTTTGGTTGCAGCAGTGGGGCAGATTCCTTTCAGTTAACTATCTCCTAGAAAGTGGGCAAGGGAGAAACGACAATGTCCAAGTCTTTGATTACTACTTGAAGTAAACTCGAAGCTAATCAATGATACAAATGAGCTATCTATTCACTCACACATTCGTTCAATAAATATTTATTTAGAAGGCATTGTTCTAGACATTGGGGATAGAGCAGTGAATGAAACAGAAAATGACTCTGCTTTCTTACAGCTTACATTTCAGTGGGGAGACAGAAAGTAAGCAAATAAATTGAGTTTTTAAAAAAGTCAGATGGTAAAAAGGGTTATGAAGACAAATAAGCAGGGGAGGAGCCAGAGCAATAGAGGGATATTTAAAACACAGAGGGTAGTCTGAGGCAGTGGCATTTGAGCAGAAACCTGAATTTGGGAGCAGGTCATGAAAATATTTAGGGTAAATGATACCAAAAGAGCACTGGTATGAACCAAATCAATCAAACTATGTGCTAGTAACTTCAGTTATAAAGACTTTGTTCTTTTTTGCCCCCTAAATTTTGAGCTGTGCAAATTCCCTTTCTTAGAAGAAATAACTACCAAGAGAGCCTCATTTTAATGAGCCAGAACAAATATTCAAATTGCTATAGTGGCCAAATCTTGTTAAAACAGACACACTACAATCAACATACTACAGTCTTTCTTTTATAAAACAAATGTTACAGGTGACAAAGAAGCAACATAAAACACAAAGGCAACATGAAACACTGGGAAAAGCACGCACTTTGGATTGTGGTGCACCTGGGTGCAAATATGTGAACCTAGGCAAGATATTAAACTTCTCTTGAGTTCTAACTCTCTGATTTCTATAAAACAGATGACAGTATCAGTACCTATTTGCAGGACTGCAGTGAGGACTGGAAGGGAATAAGTAAAGTGTCTGGTACACCCTTAGTTCCCCTACCACTCTTGGCTCATCTCAAATAATACTCTCCTTCAAGTATCCTACCCGGGCCACAATGAACTTTGCCTAGTTCCACAAACAAGCCAGGCCCTCTCCTGCCTCAGCATCTCCACACACCTTTCCGACCACCCAAAAATGACCTCTCCTCACTCTAAATCCTTCTTAGTTCTTGCTTAATTTATATATTCTTAACTACTCTACGTGGGGACTTTGCTATGTGCCTGGCACATAGAAAATACTACAGTGGATACAGGTCTTTGTAAAAACAGTTAAGGTTCCTGCTCTCTGGGAACCTTATATTCTAGTAAGAAAAGAGAGACACTAAATAAGAAAATCAATTTTAAAAAAATCAAAATATCAGTGATAAGAGCTGCTGCTTTTGAATTTCCTTTGCTGGGGATCCTCCTTATCCCAACCTGTTAAGTGTTGAATCATTTTCTCTCCATTCACCCTCTAAGTGATCTCGTCTAGTCCCAAGGATTTAAAAACTATATTTGCCACAGAATAACTGTGAAGGGATATGTGTGAAACTAGACTGGCCATTAGTTGGTAATTGCTGAAGCTGGCTGATAAAAGTACATCAGGGGTCATTCTACAATTTTCTCAACTTCTATAAATATTTGAAACTCCCATGAAAAAAGAAAAAAGCGAAGCAATGATAAAGGAAAACTTATGTTTAGAACACTGTACACTGTACACATTTATGTCTCCAAGCCATCCCTCTCTCTTAAACTCCAAAGTCACATATCCAACTGTCTACCATCCAGATGGCTTTGCCTGGAGGGCTAAAAGGCTGTTCAAATGCAACCAATCGAAACCAAATTCTTGCTCTTTCCCAGTCCTGCTGACTTCCATAAATGACATTTTTACTGTCCCGTTTACTCAAAAAAAACTTTGGGCTTTTTCTTGACTCCTTATTCTTTCACACTATCATCCAGCCCCTCAGAAAATCCTATCAGCTTTTGAAATAA